AGGACATGAAGATTATTGATTTTACTGCTGGATTTTCTTTTATATATGAAAAATATATAAAATTATATGGGAAAAAATAGATGAAATCAGAGGCCCCATCCGGCGCCTCTGATTTCATCTATAACTGATAAATATGGAAGCCCCTTTTAGCCACATGAAACTAAAAAAAAAGTCATAATTATGAGTTTCAAAGTCATAATTATGAGACATGCAATTTACAAACTTTGCATTTCACAATTATGACTTTGTATTTGGCATTTCTTTATTTCCATGTGGTGGAAGCAGTCTCTCATAGATAAACAAGGAGTAATAACAGAATATAGCCTATAAAGCCCCTGCTAGTCTGACTGGACATCATGAAAACAATCATCTGATCCTGGAAGCGACTAAAACAAAGGAGATGATTTGAACTGATGTGGAGAGCCTGATCTGCCATCAAACTGATAGAGAAGGTCTCTGCTCTGCTCCTCTACATCATCTGGAGAGGACAACATCAGGGCCTTCAGTCAGAGGCTCCTCAGAGTCGCTGCAACACCGACTGCTACAGGAGATCCTTCATTCAACAGCTCTTAGAAAAACTTGAAACTTTTTATTTTAAAGTACTTTTCATCTTTAATGGAACCAACAAAGTATTTCCAAAAACTAAAAGTATCATTTTATTAGACCATGAGTTTTGTTTTGATAATCCACTCATCAGACTTCCTCTAACGCTGCGTGGGTTACAGTCCACGCACATGCGCCGCGCGCCCAGCGGCTCTGTTTGGATCACAGCGACCTGCTGCAGCTGATCCAGCATCAGCTCCCGTTTGGATCACTGAAGAGTTCCAGCCTGGAACTTCCTGCAACCGGAAGTGACGATTAATGGAATAAAAAAAATCAATTAATTAATCAAGGAGCAGTGAATTCAAAATAATGAAAAACCCACAGAATGATTCGATTACACTGCATCGAGGATCATATGTGTCTATTATTCTTTTTTAATTAAAGAATAAACGAATAAAAAAAAAAACAACAGACCATCCTCTGCGATGATGATGATGATGATGATGATGATGATGATTTAAAGGCATCTTCCCTGTTGACAGAAGAGGAAGAGGAACTGCTGCCAGATGCAGATTCAATCTGAGAGGAAGAGGAGAAACTCTCAGCTTCATCCTCTGCAGGAATCAGTCTGAGGCAGATGATGGCAGCACTCCAGCTCCAGGATTTTACACAACTCATCTGTATCAGAGTTTCTGCCCAAGAAACTTAATGCTTAAAAAAGAAGTAAAGTTTGACAATTAATAGAA